CGCGCAACGCGCGCGCGCGCGTGCGCGCGACCGTGCGCGGAGGGCGGATGGGAGGAGGGAGCAAGAGGCACGGCGAGTTACAGACCTGCGTGTCTGCAATGTTCGATCCTCTCCAAAATTTGATTGCGCGCGTGTATACCTGCGTGCGTGTGTGTGAGTGCGTGTATATGCGCGTGCGCGCCGAGCTACTCCTGGTGCGAGTTGCGCCGCATCAGTTCAGGAGGAGGAGGAAAACCATCGCGAGGATGTTAATCTGCACGTGGGACAGGACAAGAACCGTCGTGGGGATGCGAACCTGCACGAGCCTCGCGGACGAACACCACCACGAAGATGTTCAACTGCACCATCGCGAAAAAGTCAGTCATCTGCATGCGAATATGCACGATCGCTACGCCGACCTTTCATGGTGAGCGTAGCGCCGAGGCGAGGCAACGCGAAAACTGCAGGATTGCTCGAGCCCTGGGCTCGATGGAGTCCTTTTCTTCGCTCTCCTGCGCAGAAGGGGAACCGACAGAAGGGCAAGGGGCGGGCGGGATGAGAGAGCGGGAAAGGAAGGCATCGTTGATATTACAGTTACCCACGCACGAGCACCATTTCCTCTGCATTTACGCCAGGGTATCGAGGGGGAGCCCCCTGGGTCAAACGGAGTCGAAAATCTTTCGGGCCCTGAGCCCAGATGATCGAGCTGGCGAGTTTGTTTCTTCCGCGCTCCCGGGAGGAGGGGTGATGCATGGGCGAAGGGAGCGGAGAGGGGTGGATTGGATGGCGGGAGATAAAGACGCTTCCTCCGCTGAGATCCATAGACGCACGCTCACGCACCAACACACACAAACTCACACACGCAAACATACTCACCACGCAGCTTGAACATTTCCTCCACCCCCAGACCCGAAAAGGGAGAGCCCCGTGCGGACGGCGGAAGCAACACGGACTGGAGGATGGTTCGAGCCTTGAGCTCGTCCGATTGAGTTGGTCAGTTCTTTTCTTCCGCTCTCCACTACAAGATAAGATGGAGGGGACAGAGGGAGGACGGAAACAGCACAGGTTACATCGGAAAACCAGCGAAGACGAGATAATAGGAACAGGCTCCAAGCCCAAGACAACGCCAGGGCAGTGAAGGGATGAGCCCGAACGGCGTTCACCAGAAAGGAAGGCCCGAACGCCTCACATAAGGACAACAGGCACCAACGACTCACGCCACGAGGAGCCCGAACGACTCACCCATCAGGACGGGCCCCAACGACTCACACCAGAACGACGGGTCCGAACGATTCACATCTCATGGAGCCCGAACAACCCACACGCAAGGAGGCGCCCGAACGATTCACACCAGGACAAAGCGCCCGAACCACCCACACCACGAGGACCCCGAACGACTCATACACAAGGAGGGACCCGAGCGACGCACAGCAGGACGACGAGCCCGAACGATTCACACCACGAATAGCCCGAGAAAGGAGAAATCTCACAGACTGACTCAAACGAATCTAACGAGGCAGAGGCAGACGGGCAGGACTATGAAGGGAACACGTATATGTTTGCACGGGCCGAACTGCTCAGGCGCTCAGACAGCGTGTAGATAGATCAGGAGTCCACGAGCAGCGATGTCACCCAGCACTGATTCAGTGCTGCGCCGCAAACTACACCCACCAATGAATCTTTACTGAGAAGAATCACCACCACCATTACTTCCGAGGGTAACCAGCACCATCACGTAGTATAGTAACCAGAACCCAAAGATCCCAAGTAGGGAATGCAGCCAGATCGCAGTACGAGTCCCGCCAGCGGGATGTTGTGTCCTGTACTGGATCTCACTCCAAGCGCCTCCGAATATGAGTAGAGGCATGCCCACCATTGGCCACATACCGATGCCCACGCCGTGTATACAGCATCCACGGTCCGCTTTGACGCAAAATCCAATGTCCAACCTCTCGGTAAAAAGTAGTAGTCACGTATAGACGCGTCACATCCTCCGCGGTGCATATTCACATCACCACTACGGGAAGAAACATCATACACCACCTGAGCCCACTGCATGATACCCCCATGCCACTGAATAGTAAGCTGCTCCGTTTCCACGGTGCCCAACATAGCAGGCTGGCCGATAGGGATTATCATCGCATCCTTCAAAAGATAAAGCATGCCCTTGGAATTTCCAATGGCCGCGCGGCCTGTGCCGTAGTAGACCGCGACGTCCTGGAAGTTCCGCAACGCCTGGGACTCCGCATTGTGCTTCACGGCGCAGCAAGTGAAATGCAGACCACTGTTGTCCACTATATCGAATATCCGCTTCGCGTTCCCACCTTGTGTCATCTCCAACGATTGCAGATCCATCGCTTTACCTTTGACCGACAACCGGAATGGAGGGTTTAATTTGTTGCGGAGCGACCGAAAGACGGAAACGCAACAATCCGAAGGAGGAACCGCATACCTCATCTGGATGAGATTCTCTGACGTCGGAGCAGACAGAACCCGCGCTGTCGTGCCCATCTCCCCGCCAACAGCTTCGATGGATGTCAACATGCGAATCCGCGTCAGCAACTCCCCATTCCAATTGTTCTTCCCCGCTCCCTGGATGCGAACCTTGGACAGGTCCACGACGCACGGAGCAGCGTCGCCCCGATGGCGACGCTCCTGTACAGCGCGCCAGATGCTGCAGATATCTTCAGCGGCGTCACCCCATAGGCACGCGCAGATGGGCCCCGTCTTGTCCACCATGACCACGTCGGCCGCCTTCCCTTCCGAAGACGGATCCTTCCGCTTCCGCGGAGAACCCTCCGCGTAATGTACATCGCGAGGATTACTGTCGCATACAATTACAACCCCCTGAACATGACACCTGCCACCCTCCTCGGAAGACTGGAGAATTCCCAGCGCGGATTTGTGAAATATCTCTTCGGACGCCGACGATGTCGGACCAAACGCCTGCCCTGATAGAATCAGATCGATGCCAGACAAAGCAGAAGTCGACGTCCCATCCGAGAGTTGCGTGGACTCATGGGCCACGGCGCTCTCCTCGGCGTGTCGGAGAGCAGAGTCCCCAGGACGAACCTCCGATACGCTTTTCCGCAATAAGGTGTAATACCCGGATGCCGCAAATTTTTCTGGTGGCCTCCATGGTAGCATTTGTTTTCTGCTTGGCCGTGCGCCTTTGCACAAATTGGCTGTATTGCTCCGTGACTCCCGTCACGGCGAAACTGTGATCAGCCGCGGGTGCCTTCAAGAGGAGTGTTTTACGTTCCGCTGCTTCGTCTGCGGAGACTCCAAACCCCGGGTCCACCAACGGCCGAAACGTCGCAGGCGCGCCTAAGCCAGTCCCCGCGTTCTGGTGCGCATTCGCACCGCACGTCTCGCGCACAATGCGAAAGTAGTCCTCTTCCAAAAACTCTCTGAAGCTATCATGAGCGTCCGCTCCACTGAGTTCGACAGCTTCAGCCATCTCATCCCAAGCTAACCACAAATTCTTGTCCAGCAACTCCAACAATTCTGGCCTCATTGCCGACGCGGCATCACGAGCGAAAACTTTCTTCTCCCTGTCACCGATCGACTGCGGAGAGATGAGCGGGATGAACGTCGACTGGGAAAACCGGTGGGCAAATATCCTGGCGTCAAGCGACTGCTTGGCGAGAGAATCACGCACGTGCTTGTAGTAAAAACTGAGTGCCCACTGAGCATGCTTCTCGTCAGTCGACGTGCCTGGATCTCCAGGACTATTCTTAAAATACTCCTGTTTCTGAAAATCAATATAGCTCTGAATCTGCACAGCATCCAGCTTTTCCACGAGACTCATGGCTTCCTCGGCGGCATTCTGCTCGTCCTCCGCTCGCAAGTCTATCGGGCGAATGAGCGGGAACTCTTTCGCCGCCGCTCGAGAGTGCAGATCGCCCACCAAAGTGGACATGTCCTCCGCCAAGTCCTCGCCGCCAGAGCCTGCTTCGCCCAGCGATTCAAGCAGCGTGGTCAAATCGGCCCTCCCAAACGATTTGTCCGAAGGCCAACCCCCGCTCTCGAAAATCTGCTTCAGCGACTCTACTGTAACCGTTTCGGCACTCACGCCGCTACTCGCGCCATCAGCGCGACACCCTTCAAGGAACACATGCAAGCCCTCAACTCCAGGCTTCAGGATAACTTTCTCTGCCGCGCCGTCCGCTTGCACAGCAATGTGGTCGAAAGACGCCTCCACAGCCTCGTGGAAACTCTGAGTGGTCATGGCCCGAATACCGTGCTGGAGGATTGGCCACCTCGCCAAGCGAATTGAATGGGAACAGCGGTGTGAACAACGCCTGAGCTACGCTCACTACCGATGATCTCGCAGACGCGCTCGACTCGAGCCCGCGGCTCGCAACAATGCACCAACTTTGCATGCAGGAACCATTCGTGCACTAAAAACCACGCGTAACGCACTACACACAACAACCAAATCTGCGACGAAGATCACTCACATCTGCAACGACATGACACCCTACGGCACACAAAAATCCCTCGTCCCAAGTGTGTGTGAGGATGTGACCTGATGTAGGATATGGAGTGGTCACTATGATGAGGATGTCAATGATACGATGTGATATGATATCGCGGACGACGCACCACCTGATTAATGTGAGGCACGATGACATGTAAATACTGGGTTGGCCGTTGCGTTGTTGCAGGACTGGTAGGATGTGAATAAGTGATGATCCTGCAGGATGCTGTTGTATGACACGTCAGGTAGCGTTGGCAGTCACGATCGAGAGACAGGGCACACAGCCAGGGCCGCGCTCTTTCTCTAAAGCAAAGACTGGGAAGGCACAACACACACTAATTCAACAGAACCACTCTCAATGCGAGTGCGAATTGACCAACACCTAATACCCTATGATCCAATACGTGTACTCGTTGCCTTTTTTTGTGCAGCTTCCCAATGACGCACCACCCGTGATTCTCTCTCTCTCTCTCTCTCTCTCTCTCTCTCTCCCTCTCTCAGCACGATCTCCATCCTCTTGTTAATGATCATATTGTGCTTATCGTGGCTCTCCCGACGATGAGGCTAACCCCATCTTGCGTTTCGCGTAGCCCACTGGAGGAGTCCAGGTGTCCTCCTGCTTCCCTGGCATCTCGGGCACCTGAGCCTGCGAGGTGTTTACGCTGTTGTAGTCGGGCCACACCTCATAATCTTTCCATCCGTAGGCATGCCACGTCTCTGGCTTGTTCTTATCCCAGGCCTGGTTTCTTCCCTCTAGAGTCGCGGAGCTCTCTGCAGGCTGCCACCACATCGAAGATCTCTTTGTGTTCGTTCTTGGCGATCTCCTCGCGACGCGCCACCCTCAGCTTGCACTCGATATCCTCGATGTTCTTCGTCTCGTCGGCCTGCGGCTTTATGTAATCTTTGGCCGATGGCCAGATGAGGGGGAGCTCGGACTGGTACTTCAACGTCCCGTGGGCCTCGATCAGCTTTCCCAGGCCTGCCGTGATGCCTTGGATCTGGTCCTCGATGGTACGAATGTTCTCCGCTACCATGTAGATCTCCTGCGACGTCTGCGCTTTGACCATGGCGCTGCGAGTCAAGCACGTCGTCAGCTGCAGCTTGGAGGCCTTCAAGGTGTCCATCTGTGCCTCGAGTACCTTCAATATTTCTGTGGTCACCTCCCGGCTCCTTTGCAGATTCGTCTCCTGCAACTCGATCACATAGCTTACGTGCCCAATCACCTGGTCCTCCGGTTGGCCTCGATACTTCGGAGCGGCTTCTGGTACTTCTGGAGGTGCAGACATCCCCAGCTTCACGCGAGCACGCGGAAGAAAGGAGGCACTTGGCAGATTGGAAAACCGAGCGTCCGTGCGGAGCTAAGCTCACAACGAAAATGATACACGGTTAGAACTCACGGGCACTGAGGAAAGCTCGTAGACACCACCGAGTGCTTCTGCCCGAGCCAAACTCACAGCACGCGTCATCACTACAAACCGAAATGGCAACAGCAACGACAACGGTGCAGGAAATGAGACCTTACCTCTCTCCTGTTATCCTGGGTGATATCGTAGCCCTTCCCATGAGCCTGTGGAGCCTCGCGAGAGCCATCGTCGGACACTCTAGGGCCCCCTCGATGCCTCCTCGACGCTTGTCGGGGCCAGCTTGGAGAACATCGATCAAAACACAAGAGAACTTCAATTAGTGCTGCCCCCTCGAGCCATTGCTCCTGCCGAGCTCCGACTGAATACATGGTAAGGCGGAAGCGGTGGCATGTAGGCACGTAGAACTCACAGCCACATTGTGTAATACTATGAGACAGGATGGCAACGGCGACACCTGAGGTGCAAAGAAGAAGTAGTTTGCCCAATCCTAGACGCCTTGCTGATTTCGTGTTTCGTTGTGGGAGCCTCTTGGACCACCACGCGCCTGCTGCGGACCTCCGTCTTTCCCCCAGAGGCCTCCATGGAGCCTCTGCCAATCGAGAGCGACCAAATGTCTTCCCCTGGATGACCCCCAGATGCTTCCCCTAGAGTACCTCTCCCGCCATCTCATTCAAACACGAACGCGTTCCGAAAAAAGCCATGCGTCAGCAGATTGGACTCCCTCATTCATGCCCTTCCATGCCCACCCTCCTCCCTCAGGCGCGGGCGCGCACTGCGCCCATGACATGACATCTGCCCGCTGAGCGCTCTACCAACATCGCATGTGCCACGCCGACGAACGGAAGGGTGAGTAAACAAAAAGAAGCGCGATGAATGCAACTATTGTGGGTGGCTATGTTCCAACTGCGCACTGGATGCAAGCGCGCGCTATGGCAACGAACCCATGCTCTGCGCATTGCGCTCCCTACTGTGGCCCTGCCGCTGCAGTGAAAAACGTGCACAGAACCGACACAATGAAAACACTTTACTGCACCAGCTGGAGGGCACCACGCATGCCTCGGCACTGACAGCTGTTCGCAGCTGCGCAGTCCGCAGAATGCCACGCACAGAGCTGCGATTCCAGGTCCAGCATCTCGAACGGAGGCAGCCGCGGCGGCCCGGCCCAATCTGCACGGATGCTCTGTGACAGCAGCGCCAGCGCCGTGTCAGCCCCAGCCAAAGTCACGCTGCGACCCACGAGCAGGCGAAGAGCCGCCAAGCCGGCAGAACCAGCGAAACCGCGGGTCGCAACTGCCGTCCACTGCGCCAGCCCCAGTTGCGACAACAACACCGGCATGAATTTAGCGGTGTATCCCCCGATGGGCAGGCCAGACCCGCACAAGGCATCCATGGCGCTCGAGGCGCTGCCTTCTTGAAGTAGAGCGTGCGCCCCTGGAGCTCGGCGTGCAACACCAAGCACTAAGGATGCAAGCCGTCGAGCTTTGCGCCGAGCATGCGCCTGGGTGCCTGTGAGAAGCGACCGCCCACGGCACACGCGAATGCTGGGGTTCGCTACCTGCACATCATCTGCGCGCGTTTGCAAGAGCCTCCTCACCAGATCGCCGCGGTAGGATGCGGTCGTGGAGGAATGCCCACGGCCTGCACCCATGCGTCCGTCCAGAGCAAGCAAGCAGCGCCAACAGCAGCCAAAAGGGCTGCACCATGGGTCCTGAGGCGCCGCAGCTGACAGATAATTGCCTGTACATCACGAGTGACGAGACACGACGCGCCGAACGGGATGAAGTCGACGACCCGGTCGCCGTTCCGAAGCGCCTGCTGGCTGCGCCTGATGGTGCTTTTCAGCCACGAGACGAAGCTGGCACTTCTGACGTTGGTCATTCGGCGCAAGATATTGCCCTTCCGCCCCCGTAGACCGGACTGCTGGCGGACTTGGCGAGCATGGTGGCGCCCAGACATGTGGACATCATACTTGCTCTTCCGTGTTCCGTAGTCTATGCTGCATATTCTGCACCGCCACGGTGGGCCCTCGCACTCCTCAGACATAGCTCACACCACCACTTCCATGCCCACCGCTCAAGGGTGTGGGAAGGAAGAGCGGCCGTGCAGAGCTAAGCACAAAGCGCAAGTGATGGTCGGATAGAACCCACAAACACTGACAGATTGCTCGTAGGCAGCAACGATTGTTGCTGGCCGAGCTAAGCTCACAGCCACGCTTCATTACTCTGAACCACAATGGCAGCAGCAACACCGAAAGTGCAGGAGATATATATTTGGGGCTCTCCTGAGATCCTGAGTGAAATCCTGGACCCATCTGAGGCTCCTCGTGCTGTGAATCGTTCAGGGTCCTCGACCTCGTGAGAGTCGTTCCAGCTCCTCGTGGGGTGAGTCGTTCGGGCTCCTCGTGGTGAGTGTCGTTCGAGCGCCTCGTCCTGCTGCGAGTCGATCGGAACCCCTCTTTCAGGGGTGAGTCGTTCGGGCTCTTCGTGATGTGGGCCGTTGGGGATCCTCGTCCTGGAGTGAGTCGTTCGGGGTCCTCGTGTTGCGAGTCTTTCGGGGCTCTCGTCGTGGTGGGAATCGTTCGGGCTCCTCGTGGTGTGAGTCGTTCGGGCTCCTCGTCCTGGAGTGAGTCGTTCGGGGTCCTCGTGTTGCGAGTCTTTCGGAACTCTCGTCGTGGTGGGAGTCGTTCGGAGACCTCGAGGTGTGAGTCGTTCGGGGTCCTCGTGGTGTGCGTCGTTCGAGCGTTTCGTCCTGCTGTGAGTCATTAGGGCCCCTCCTTCTGGTGTGAATCGTTCGGGCTCTTCGTGGTGTGAGGTGTTCGGGACCCTGGTCCTGGTGTGAGTCGTTCGGGGTCCTCGTGGAATGTGTCGTTCGGAGCTCTCGTCGTGTTGGGAGTCGGTCGCGCTCCTCGTGGTGTGAGTCGTTCGGGCTCTTCGTCCTGGTGTGAGTCGTTCGAGCCCCTCTTTCTGACGGGAGTCGTTCGGGCTTCTCGTAATGTGAATGCTTCGGGCCATTCGTCCTGGTGTGAGTCGTTCGGGCTCCTCGGAACATGGCGCTTTCGGGCACCTCGTTCCCTTCGGGAGCGTCTGGTGAGCCTCTTGCGGGCCCTAGGGGCTTCTCGGAGTGTCTAGGAGGCCTTGGAGGAGCCGCTTCGGACCTCCTGGGGGACTCTGAGACTGCGGCACGAAAAGCAAGAAGCCAGTAGATACACTGTGGCGGGAAGGCCGAAGGCTGGTAGATAAACCGAACCTCGGTACACAGTCTGCCGCTACGGAGAACCGCTGGGGAATCGTAGACCCTTCGACCCTCCGATGGCCGGCCATAGTGAACCCTAGCCTTTCTCACGCTCCCTTGCGCGCCCGAGGACCTGATCGCGACTCCAGGAAAACAGCGCGAGCACCATCCCAAGATCCTACACGAGTACTAGACCCGATAGGAACTCGAAAGACACCTGGCATCAGCGCGGTTATCAGAAAGCACAGTTCAACTTTCCAAGGCTTCGCCTGTGGATGCTGGGTTCGGGGATGATCTCTGGTAGCTTGTGGGCGGAGAGCAGAGCTGCGCGCATTCATGCACAGACCTCGACTGCATGGAGACACCTGGAGCTCACTATCGGGGTTACTAGAATTTTCCATGTCACCGACGTGCATGATGCACTGGCTCAGCGCTCTCATGTCCCCACGCAAAGGAAAGCCCGAACGACTAACACCAGAACGAGAGGCGCCAACGCCTCACACCTCGATGAGCCCGAAGGAGTGACAAACAAAGAGCGGCCCCAGCAACTCACAGCAGGATGAGCGACCCAAGCGACTCGCACCACGAGGAGCCCGAACGACTCACACGCAAGGAGGCGCCCAGACGACTCACACCAGAACGAGAGGCCCGACCGAAACACACGGTGAGGAGCCCGAACGACTCACACAGAAGGAGAGGCCCCAACGACGCACACAGGGAAAAGAAGCCCGAACGACAAACACCACGAAAGACACGAACGACTAACACACAATGAGGAGCCCGAAACCCTCACACAAGGAAAACGAGTGGCCACATCGACTCGCATCACGAGAAGCCGGAACGAGTCACATAGCTGCAACGCACACAGAACCGAACTGGTGCATGTTCTCTGGAGGGACCCCGTTGGCCACTCGAACCCTGCAAGCTTAAGGGAGGCCTTCTCCCTGCTTTTTTCCTGTTCTTTCTGGGGCAAACGCGGATGCAGTTCAGCCAGAGGACCAATCATCGGACGTTGAACTTCCAGGCCTGGCGAGGACCCGATCGACGTCCAAGAAAAAACGCCTGATCTCTCACCTTTGGCAGCGAGGGGAAAACTTCACACACTGTCCGCGTGTGTACGTTTCTTTGTCATTGTGTATGTGTGTGTGTTGCGACTGTGTTTTGCATGTAAATACACGTGTGTGCTGCACAGAGTAGACCACCCTACTTGGGTTGAAAAGAGCGCACTCGTCAAAATAAAAGCTCGACAGTGGCGCGTGTCTGGGGCAGGACGCGGCGGCAACCGTGGCTGCATGTCCCCGGGCTTTGGCCGAAAGATCGCTGCTGCCACGAAGGCGGGGTCAATGGGCGAGGAAGAGCACAATGCATCACGAGGAAAAATGTCGAAGCAATCAACATGATGGACGATGTCATCTACTCCAGCAACTGTGCCACAGCGGGAGAAAAACAAATATGAGCGCGAGCGTTCCGCTCGGTCTCCAGAGTGAAGAAGCTACGAGGAGTGCGCCTCCTGTCGTCGCCGTGGCGTCGGCGTCGTCGGCGTCGCCATTCACGTCCTCGAAGTCGTTGTCGTCGTCGTCGTTATCTAGACAACGTCGTCGTCGGGTCGGCGCCGTCGTCGTCGTCGTTCTCCG